AGCAAGTTAAACTTGGCATACAGGAATGCTACGCATTCATGTGTGTTGTGTTGCATTGATTAATGTCACGAAAAAAAAAAATTCGTAAAAAGCGCCATGTCATGTCATATAACCATATTTAGAACATCAAATATACTTTTAAAAAAACCAATTAGTATCGATCGTGATACCTATCGTTAAACATGCACTGTGATACTGGTCAGTAACCATTGGTGTACACTATTATACAGGTCGATAACCACAAAAATTCTACTGAAAATCACCGGTCTATGCGACAGCACGACCTTGTGGAATACTTTAAAGTACAAATATTAACAAAAATTGACCAAAACAACAAAATATTAAAAATAAAAATAAAAATAAAAGCTTTTTTGCACTGTTACTCCCTAAACTTTACATGATTGTCAAATCAGTCCTTGAAAAAAAAAATTTGCAATTAGCCCCTTCAACTTCAAATTTGTTGTATTGATGGTCCAATTGATAACTCCGTTATCTTTTCTGACAGAAATTACACGTGCATTGCACGTGGGCAGTGAATGAGGGGCAAAACTTGGAAATGTGAAAATTGCTCTCTCCTACAAATTTAATTCAAAAGCTAAAAGAAGAAGAAAGAAACAAAAAAAAAAAAATATATATATATATATATTTATATATCAGCTCGTCATTTTCGGATCTGTCGATCAAAATCAAAATCTATTTCTACCGAAAAGGCAACATCCCAAGTTCCACACTCCCCCATCATGCATTGAGAGGTTGTTCTTTTTTCGAGAACCCATCTTTGACTTGCTAACACATTTTTCATCAACAAAAACTTTACGGTTGCTGCAATTTCAAGAACCCATTTTTCGACTTTGCTATTTTTTTCTTTTTCTATTTCTGAAATCCATCCACGGCTGATTGGTGATGAACCGTCATCGTCTTCCCCATGTCACTAAGAATTAATCTGCCATATCTCATTTTTTCTAATTGCACGGAAAGACAACCAAAAGAAAGGGAAAAAAAAACTCAGAACTCAGACCCCACAAAAAAGAAACTCCAAAAACACAAGAACCCACCAATACTCAATCTAAAACTAAAAAAACCCAAAACGAACAAAATTCAAGCTGGAGGTACTGGAAGGATTTAAAGGATGAGAGGATTCGGCGAGCCGAGATTTGACGAAGCAAAGGGACATTGCGATGGCGATATCTAGTGGAGAAGGAGGCCACGAGAACTAGATCTAGCGACGTTAAGAAGAGCTGGTATTATAATCTTAATTGGCTGAAAATATTGGTATGATACACTTAATAAAGTGAGGGTAATTCTTCCTTAATAAGTCAGTTTTGTTAAGTTGAGTTAGGCTCAATATCTTCTAATTTCTGTAAATTGGTATCAGAGTATGCTCAGTTTTATAATATTAGGTCTTCTAATATTGACTTATTCACAGTAATTTAGTATGGTCCACGCTGTGCGTGAAGAGACGTATTAGAATCTCATATTAACTGGAGATATTGGCATGATACACTTAATAAGGTAATGATAATTCTCTCTTAACAAGTTAATTTTATTAGGTTGAGTTAGGTCTAATATAACCTGACTAAGATGGAGATGGAGATCTCCGTGGATGATTGGGGAAGGATGGGATGGGCAATGGAGATCTTGGTGGCTCGGTTGGGAAGGTACTTTCTAATGGCAACGAGGGGGCTTCTTTCTTTTTTTCTTTTTTTGGTTTCTTTCCTCCGGTAAAAGACAACTAGTGCCCTTGAGAGAAGGTCATAAACAAAGCCCGTGTCAGAAACCGTCTATAATTTAACAGCCGACTCCTGATGCAACAATTTTGAAATTGAAGGGGCTAATTGCTAAAAATAAATTTAGGAACTGATTTGTGAATCACGTAAAGTTTAGAAAGTAACGGTGCAAAAAAGCCAAAAAACAAAATCAACAAAACTACAAGAATTAGAAAAAAAAAACAAGTATGGTTGTTGACTTCTCACGTGAGGGATATCACCTCGGCATAGGGGAACCTCGGAGGAAATCTACCTCTGCAAGTCCATCGCGGGGGGATCCCCATATATCCCTGCCATTGGAGGAGATCTCACTTCCACGGGCCATACAGTGAGATCTCGTCACTTCTTCTTTGTCACCTTCTATTCAGCATTAGTCATCTACCTCAACACCCGTAAGATCTCAAAAGAATGGTATATATGTTTATTACTTCGTACTACGCCCCAAAATTTATTTTTTTTTTTTTTTGAGTAATTTTGAAAAATACTCTTTAAAAATGTATGTGTCGTGATTTTTTTTATTATTATTTATAATATTTTTAGTCAAATAATTTTACTAATAAAGAGGTATTTATTAAGAATAATGGGTAAAAATTTAAACTCATATATTTTTAGGATAAATTATTCATTTTTTTCTTATATATATATTTTTTAAACAAAGTCATTACGTTCAAGAGGAAGTAAATTGCACAAGACAGCATGGACATAGAAAAGGATCAACATAATGGCATTATAGGTGCCTGAACTTTCTTTTGTTTCTAGAATTAGTTCCTTACTGAAAAATGTTCTAACTTTAACCCTGAACTCTTTAAATGTTGTTTTAAATTTAATCCCTCAGTTAAAGTTCCATTAAAATTTGGATGAATAATGTTGAAATAATGGTAGTTAAACTATACGGTTAAAGGGCGAATGCTCTTTCCCGCCATTAACTATGAAAGAGACACTAAAAATCTAATTCATTTCATAAGAAAGTTCTTACATTATAAATTTATTAATAGTAAATAAAACTAGAATTGACTTTAATTCAATGTTTTTTAACAAAATATTAGCCATTTTTAAGCCTAAATTCCAACTCTGAATGACAATGAAAGAAAAAATAAACTAGCAACAAATAAAATTTTATGAATCTATTTATAATTGGGCTTTCCTAAGGGAAAAAAAAAATCTATCCATAATAAGTTTATCCCAAAATTCAGAAAACCCTTTTCAAAATAGAAAGTAATAATACGTCGTTGTTTCCAAGTGATAGAGAGGGGAAAAGAATTTACTGTCAATTTTAATTTTAAGTTACAGATTCTAGGTCAAATAAAATCTCTTAAGTAAAATCCAAATGTAAGGAAAAAATTATGGCAACGTTTATGTACATTTTACAGAGATAATATAATTGAAATGTCTAGCTTTAAGAAGCATATGACAGAGAATGCATAGACAACCCAAAAAAAAAAAAAAGACATACTTTACAACTTGATTTAATGTGTTCTTTTTCTTTTTTTAAAAGGAAAAATTATATTTCATTAAAATATTAATAAACAGTCATTTTGGTACAATATTAACCTATCAGAGGGACAAACGCATGTCTGAGGCCCGAAATCGAAAAAGTACTTCGACATACTAACAACGATCAGACTGAAAGCTCGACCGGAGAAAACTCCTCTCTTTAACATAAGCTGTTAGAACGCTTGGAATGGCAGATCGTCAAAACCCACATAAAGGAGACATCTATATGGCATAAAAAAAAAAACTGGACCAAGACCACCCTATCAGCATTAAGCCGAATACCTAAATCTAATAAAAAAAATAACAAATCAATTGAGGGTCGAGTGGGAAAACCACCAACCTTATTACAAACACAAAAGTTATAAAAAGACAAAACCCTCTTACCACCGCCAGTAGAAACCTCCGGTGAAGGGCGTCCGGCCAAAGGACCATTGAGGAAAACAGTTAGCGAAGAGATCTCAGCCACCAAGTAAAAAACTCTCCTGAGAAAGAAGACCATATATTCGGCTTTCAAGCTCTTAACAGGTTCACATCTGCTCAAACAAAACCATCACACTGTACACGGCCACCACCAATGAGAAGCCCACAACAAGACAAGTTGGAGGACCAAGTTTTACGGCCAAGAGTCCGGCGGCACACCAGGAGGCGGTGTTGGAGCTCCGGCCAACCTCTGCTCTCCAAAGACCTTCTCACTCTCTCTCTAACTCTCTCGCTCAAAAAAACTAATCCCTCTTAAGTTATTATGACCCCCGTTCATTTCACCGATTCGAGTTTTCAATTTTAGGTTTTTACAGTTAAAAGTTCTCAGAAAATATCACATCTAACTTTTTCTGTTACAGTTAAAAGCTCTCAGAAAATGTCAAATCTCAACTCAAATTGAAAACTCAAATCTGCGAAGTGAACCAGGCCAAGTTTTAGTTCAAAACATCTGATTTAGTGTGTTCTATGCCAAAGAAAAACTGCATACAGAAGCAAAAAAGAAAAATTGCATAAACAAAAAAAGAAACATATATTAAATTACATGATTGTGCATCTATCTTTTAGTCAAATTAAGACATTGCATTGCTTTCTATTCAAATTTTAATGGAACTTTAACTCAAAGACTAAGGAATTGTTCTTTTGCAATAAAATTCAGAAAAAGCTTAAACTCAAGTTACAATTTTATTTAAGTTCATGTTCTTTTAAGTTCCAAATTTATTTAACTTTACTCAACTGTATTCAAGTTATAACTTTAACTCAAGTTATAACTCAAAAATTACACTCAAATTTCACTCCAAAAGAACGACGCCTAAATTGAGACATCTAAAGGGTTTCAGAGTTTAAGTTAGAATACTCTTTGGTATATAGACTAATACTAAGAGACAAAAGAAAATTCATGAGAATACCTCTCAGAAAAACAAAACAAAAACATCCTTTGCATTTTATTTCTCCTCTCCAGTACTAGCAAGTAGCAAACCAATATCGATGCTCGTGGGCGGTGACATGTTGGTGGAGAATAACAAAGAATATATTCTCCAACAAATCTCACTTTTACCACTTCACCACATGAATAGAATGAATCATCTACCACCATACTCACTCGAGGGAACGTGCGTGATCAAATTTAATAAAATGATAACACTAAAACAAACCACGCGTGACACGCACCTCCATATAGTTTCTTTTGGTAATTTGTCCTCTTAAAAATAATACATATATATATATATCACTGTATATATATGACCAATTTGTGAAGGTAAACGAGACAAGCTAGCAGAAAGCCGAGAGAAATTAAAAGATGCCTGAATACTGCGTAACAGGCGGAACGGGCTTTATTGCGGCTTACCTGGTGAAGGCCTTGCTAGAAAAGGGTCACACTGTACGGACAACCGTACGAGATCCAGGTACAAATTCGTACTTTTTCATGCATGCTGATGCAGATGATCGGATAAGTTAATTTACAGGCTGTTAATTCTAAAATAAATATTTATATATGTCGTTCCTTGTTTAATTTGTGTATTGAAAAACAAAAAGGAGATGTGGGAAAAGTTGGGTTTTTGAAGGATTTTGACGGAGCAAAAGAGAGGCTTAAGATTTTCAAAGCAGATTTGATGGTGGAAGGAAGCTTTGATGAGGCTATTCAAGGCGTTGACGGTGTTTTCCACACTGCGTCTCCGGTGGTCGTTCCTTATGATGACAATCTTCAGGCAAATCCACCTCCTCTCTTTTGTTTTTGTTTTTGTTTTTTGTTTTTTTTTAATTTATTTTTATTTTTTTGCTTCATCCTTTTATAAGCCGTTAAAATGTCTTAACATTTGTGCGCAAGAATAAGAGGGCCAATCCCCACGTGTTTGATAAAAAATTATAGGTCCCATGTGTGACAATAGGATAAATTTTACCAATTATCTCTAAATGCCTTTCGCTCCAAGTGCAGTTGCTTGGTTGGTGCTAATTGTTAGATATATTATCTCTTTAGAGTAGTTGGTCAAAAGTAGGAAAACATGGAGAAAAAAGTGAAGAATGGATCCTAATTCAATAAGGTTAAGAGCTTTAAAAAATTGACGAATTGGACCTCTTCATGTGTGTCGTGCATAATAAAATGTCTAAAAAATAACACTTTTCAAAGTTTAGGTGGTGAATTTGGATATGTCTAATACACGAGGGAGTACAACACGCACATTTCAAATTATAGTTCGAAGGGCATGATGATATAAGTGACATAGTTGAGGACGAATTCAATTGTAAAATTTATCTGTGACCATGTATTTATTATAGCTATAATGGATAAAATCATTTTATCAAAATTTCACGCTCTTCATATTAAAAGTATACAATATATAAATATCACACAGAATTTGGTAAAAATCTGACGAGTTAAAAATATTCGTTCCTAATAGGTTATTTGTTGTACTTCTGATTTGATAACTCCTGAAATTTGATAAACAACTTGGTACTTCTAGGCCCTTTGTATTTTTCTTTTCAGGGCTAGAAAAGTTGATACTTCTGGACTATTCTTCACTGAGTTTCTTTTATTAGGCCGTTATGCTATGGTCTCATTGATTGAGAATATGTAAGCAATGTTACAAAATTGCAGACGACCTTGGTTGATCCATGCATAAAGGGCACTTTGAATGTGCTAAAATCATGTGCAAAATCAGCTAGTGTGAGACGGATTGTGTTCACATCTTCCTGCTCTTCAATAAGATACAGATATGATGTTCAGCAAGTGTCTCCTCTCAACGAGTCTCATTGGAGTGATCCTGAATACTGCAAACACTACAATGTAATTAGCACCACTTTCTAGCTCCCATCTTACATTCCTTCTTGAGGTGTAAATTTGGCAATTACCAAAAATTTGCTGTTTACATTCTTTTGTTGTCATTCTTGCTTCCATTTCCACACAGCTCTGGTATGCGTATGCGAAGACTGTGGCGGAGAAAGAGGCCTGGAAATTCGCCGAGGAGACGGGAAAGGACCTAGTTGTGGTGAATCCTTCTTTTGTAGTTGGCCCTCTGCTAGCACCACAACCAACTAGTACCCTGCTTCTCATACTCTCTATAGCCAAAGGTCAGATTTTCTTGCTCTGCATATTATTTGATGGATGGAATTACATCTTGGTGATTATGCAAAGTGTCCCTAGTAGTTTTTGGTTATGACATCGCGTGGCAAAGAGTTCACAGTAGTTTTACTTCTTTGAATATAAAAAAAAAAAAAAAAAAAATTAGATTAATTTGAAATTGCTTACAAATTAATTAGGCGCAAAAGGTGAATACCCAAATATGACAGTGGGGTTTGTGCACATAGACGATGTGGTAGCTGCTCACATATTAGCAATGGAGAATAGCAAAGCATCAGGCAGGCTTATATGTTCAAGCTCAGTGGCTCCTTGGTCTCAGATCATTGAGATGCTAAAATCCAAATATCCATCCTACCCATTTGAGAACAAGTCAGTAGAACAATAATATTGTTATTCTTTTGTTATATATTGCCTGCTTTCTTTTCACTTTTTTTTTTTATCAGTTAATATCTTGTTTTATATGCTATTGCCTATTTGCAATGTAGGTGTAGTAACCAGGTAGGAGACAATAATCCACATAGCATGGACACTAGTAAAATCACTCAACTTGGTTTTCATGCTTTCAAGACTCTTGATCAGATGTTTGGTGACTGCATCAAAAGTTTCCAAGATAAGGGATTTCTGTGAAATATCCACAACCACTTGATCTTTTGCAGGAACTGAGTTATGGATGAAGGACATAAATCCATGCATCACTAATTCGGATTGTTATATGTTCATGACTTTCAAGTTTTGAATAAGACCATCTAAAACTGAAATGAGATAGGAATGGAGTTAGTAACAACTCTAATAGCGCACACACTTTGTTTGCTAGGGAAGACAATTCTCTAAAGTTATTTTATAACTAGTGTTCCACTTCATAGCCACACAATATAAAGAACAAGTTTTAACTCCTTAAATTATAGCATATACATATTGATGTTTGTGCCGCAAAGCAATTCTGTTTAAATCTGATTTTTTTTTTAATTGAACTGTTTAAATCTGAAATTGTTTAACCAGCTGTCGAGCATGTATCTAGCTAGGGCTTTTATACTTTTTTACCGTGGGTTCTTAACGAATCCTAGGGAAGTATAGCATAGAGAGACATGGACCATTAATTATTAAGCAAGAAGTACTTTTTTGTGTCTCATGCAATGAGCATGTGAGTGGACTTTCCGAGGCCAGATGCACGCCCTGGAACAAACAGATTCCTCTTATTAAATTTTTTTTTTTTTTAAAGTCCTCTTAACACACGCACGCACGTGTATATGGTAAGAATTTACAAGTGGAAGTAGTCCTTCAAAATCAGAAGTTAAAGATTTCGATATTCTACTTTCAAAGTATAGTTGTATATGGTAAGAATTTACAAGTTGGAGTAGTCCTTCAAAATCAGAAGTTAAAGATTTATAGTTTCAAATTGTTGACATGAAAGAACATGAAAGCTCTATAATATGCATAGAAAGAAATGGAATAAGCAAAGTAGAATCACAAACTATTTCACGTTAAAGCAGAAAATTTATTAATTACTATGGACCTTAATTTGAAGAAATAAGTTTTTTTTTATTTCTTACTTTTTTACAAAGATTACAACGTATTTATAACAAAAAAGAATAAAAATATTACATTTACCTATCCATTAATCACAGAACGGTAGTATTATATTCATCGATTCATTAATTACGGAACGGTGGTCAAGATTTATTGGAGTTGTTAGAAGCTATATGTAGGTGGTATAATTTTTTTTTTTTAACCGTGTGGACTTTTCAACACTCCCCCTTAAATTGGTGCATAGATATCTCACATGTCCAATTTGTCTTGAAATTTTGTAAATGTTTGTCTAGAAAAAAAAAAAAAAAAAAAAAAAAAAAAAAAAAAAAAGAGGAAAAAACAGAGGAGCGCAAGTTCCATGCTAGAATTATAACATGGGGATGGGGCGGGGGGGAGTGCTTCTCAAGATCAATCGTCATGCTATCGATCTAACTAGCATACAAGAATATATATTATATAATAAGTGTAACTCTACATAAACGTTTCAACATTATTAGAGCTTAATTACATTAGAGCTATGAATCGGAACAACGTAGCACAGTTTTAGCATTAAAGTAGGGAAAAATAGATAAATACTCTTTTAGAATGCATGATACTTAAATTTTTATTCCTTACTCTTGATTAATACGTTTAGTTAAAAAGCTATATTAGTCAAAAAAAAAAAAATATTAATCTAAAATAATGCATTTAATAGGGAGTATGACACGCTCGCACCACCATGGACTTGGATTTTTAGATAAACTTGGGTTGCAATAGGATCTTGTTCAGCTTCTTTCTAGGCGTCTTTTAGTAGGGTCTTGGCATTTGGGTTTAGCCCATTGTGTTGGAAATATTATGTGGCGTGATGATAACTAATAATGTTGAGTCAATGGCTACGAAAAGAGAGAGGAAAATAAAAATGCATGGGACTCAAAAACGGATCAAGCTGCGCAAGGGAGAGTGAATAATCCAGGATCTTATTTCAATGTGGTATAAATAAATATAAAATTTCAAAGTTAAGTAAAAACAAATTAAAAATATGATTTTATTTTTAGAGGATAAAAATAAGAATTCTAATGTTGCTTGATAATAAACTTGTATTCAAACCATGATCTTATTGTCAAAAGCATAAGCTTAAATCTTTCACATATGCATAACTAAATTATTCAATGATCTATTGTTAATCTGATTGTACAATAGATGGTCTTAACAATATTTCTAACAAGAGAATGCCCACTCAACGCTTGATTTGGGATTACCGATAATGTCCTAGCTAGACAAGTAATCAGCTATTGATACATGAATAAGACACCTATTATGAATTTAATAAACGCTAGAGAGGACATTGGATTAGGTATCTCATTCTAACACCTACATGAGTAGATACTAGAGAATGAACCAATGATTCTAAAAAAAAATAAAAAAAAATGAAACAGTGATCCTCATTTTATTCCTTACTTTCTTTTCTAATCCAATTTATATTCATCCCTTAAAAAAATAAAATAAAAATAAAAATAATTTTAGTTGGTGCAAAACAGAAAGAAATTAAAAAGAATTGAAGTACTTTTTTCTGTAAGGGAACGTGCTCTCATTGGCTTCTTAATAGCTCCGTGCCCAGTAACAATGGCCGCCCACATTTTTTTTAACAACCTTTAAAATTTTGTGATTTTTTGTTTTCCCCAATTGAATTGACCATGATGCAACGTCGGATTTAGTACTATAATTGGCCTACTTTGCGTGGATATGAACTATGAAGTAGTGGTGTCAAACGTGCCGTGTCAGGCCGGCACGGCATGTCCACCACTAGGCCCATTACGGGCTTGGCACGGCCAGGCCCGGCCCTGCACAGTGCAGGGCCGTGCTTGGGCCGGGCCTGAGAATAAAAACTCAGGCTCGGTCCAGGCCCTTGACCCTAGTCTATAAGGGCATGGGCCCATGCCCTTCATGGGCCGGCCCCGGTCTTTGTATTTTTTTTAAAATTTAATTAAAAAAATATATCGTATGCCCTCAAAAGATGTGATTTTATGAACTGACATAATAGGAATAAATACACATAAATAACTGCCTCGTTAAAAACCTTGCTAACTAAAACCCGTGGGGAGATCAGGACAAAACCTTAGCGAAGGAAAAAAATAGTGCAGTAACTAGGAATAGTAAATTACAAACCTAAGTGCTTCTAGAAGATTCTGTTATTTCTAAGTTAGAAAAATATTCTTGCATTGAATCATCTATGTATTGTTGTTTTCGTCTTCTGGCATCTTCCCAGTTTTTAACACACATTAGCCCCTCCAAGATATCTGGATGCATTCTGCTCCTCTTCTCGTCAAGAATTCGGTTTGCTCCGATGCTACCGCTGACACTGGAGTTGTCAGAATGTCACGAGCTATTACGGACAGTGTTAAAAAATGATCGGTCTTGCTCTTCCACCACTGTAAGATGTCTAGTTTGTCGTCATCGATTACAAAATTTACTTCAAAATATTTTACTAGTTCGGTAGACGCTTGTGTTGATGACGATCTTGCCGTTTTCTCTTTCTTCTTCAAGAAACTCTACGATGATCCTCTAGGCCCCGAACTGTTAGTTGACGTCGAAGTTCCCTATTCTTTTTTACCTATGCCGTATTTTGCTTCATACAAACTAAAAACCTTTTCTAACATTTTCTTAGCGTTAGTAATAGTTAGTTGCATACTATTTCTAAATTTTCTGCGATAGTAGTCATCAATGATTCAGTCTCATCTACTCCGCACTTAGGATCTAAAATGGTTGCCAATGCATATAACATAGGACAACCTGACCAATAACTTTTAAATTTATTTTTCATTAACTTAACTATATTTCTAAAAAGTTCAGTATCCCTATAATAAGAAAATGTTTATGAAATATTAAATAGTTGATGTAAAGCTAAATGTACAGTAGGAATATAAACTCCAGAAAGTAATTCAGTAGCATTGTAAAAAACTTCTAGAAATTTAAAAAAAAAATACTCAGCAATCTGCCAATCAGGATCGAAAATTAAAATTTGATCGTTCTTACTGTTTATGTATGTCGTGATAAGCTGCAAATACGGGAATGTTGCCTTCAACATTAAATATGTAGAATTCCACCTATGTCTCACGTCAGTTGGAAACTTTCTTAGGCGCATCTAATTGTTCCTGCAATATTGTTTGAATTCTTGGAGCCGAGCTCCAGAACTAGATATGAATGATAATGATTCTCTAATATTTGTAAGATTAGCTGAGATATGTTCAATTCCTGCCTGAACTACTAAATTAATTATGTGACATGCACACCGTTGATGAAAAATTTCTCCCCCAAACGCTGGTTTCAAACTACGTTTAAACATGTTAATTGCAGTTGTGTTAGCTGACGCATTATCAAAAGTAATTATTAAAACTTTATCTTCTATCTTATAAAACCTACAAATTTCCATTATTGTACCAATTATGTGCTGGTTCCCGAATCGAATTCGGGTGCAGAAGCGTGGGGAAAGAGGGATCGTGTATAACAAAAATTTTCATAAAACTTTTGAGATACTCTATAGATTATATTAATTTATGCACGAATAAATTAATCGCATTAATTTACATCAAGAATTCAATCCGAAAAAAATACCTGGATGCTGACTCGGATGATAACTTGAATTATTTGACCACGAACAGTCCTTGCTCCAATCTTTGTGTTTAGAATACCAAAGTCTTCCACGTCAATTCCTTGATTCTACGTAGACGTGTGTGTGGGCACACGTGAGACAAAATAGGTTTCTTAAATACTCGAATTTCCACAAACACCAACGCATGTACGATGTGGAATTTTTGGAGAAAAATATTTTCTCTCTTTTTTCTTTGAGAAATTCGGCCACCACTAACTCTTAGGGCTGAAAATTGTTTTCAAAAATTGGGTCCACAATTTTCTATCATTCTCATATTTAAAGAGTAGAAGTCAAACTTCAAAACAGGATCAAATCCCTATCTCCAATTTTAAATTTTGAACAAAAAATCCCTTCCCCTTTATCCTTTAGTGGCCAGCCATGATTAGGGTTTCCTAACCCTGTGTGTGTCGCCAATTTAGATAGGGAAGAAAGAGAAAAATCATCCTTTATCCTGTAGTCCAATTTTGATTCAGATTCAAATTCAAATTTAAGTCAAACTTAAATTAATTTGAATTCTAAAATTGAACAAGTTATCAAATAAGTTTAAATGGATAAATCTAGATGTGTTCAAATTCAAAT